TGTTCCAAAATTGTTGTCAAAATTTGAGATGAGGGGAGGTAGAGGAACAACATTCCTGGGGAGCCCTCTTAGATGATAAAGCCAATTGATAGCCAGATTTAACAGTATATAAACCCTTACGAACCGGCCACCAAAAACGTCTATCAGAAGCCCCAACCCTCGACAGAGGAATCGCTCGAATAGTCTTGAGATCTTCCCTGGAGTTAGTAGAGGATAAAAAAATCAACATTCCATAAGGAAGAATGAGATTTAATAAAATCAGCCACTTTAATAGAATGAGAATTGGGAGGTTTGGGGGATTGAACAGACAGCGAGGGGGAATAGGGAATCCATTTTATCATTTCAAAAGTGAACCTCACACCCATCACCAATTTGCCACATAAGTCCTTTGTCAAGAAGAGATTTGCCATGAAGGAGACTACTCCAGCCCCAGGATGGTCGATTACCATGTTTCGCTTGCATCAAATCTTCATTAGGAAAGTAAATAGTTTTAACAAATCTCGCCCAAAAGGAATCAGGGAAGTGGATTAGCCTCCAGCATTGCTTAGCCAACAAAGCTTGATTCAAAATATTGAAATCCTTGAAACCCATACCCCTAGAGACCTTTGATTTAGTCATCTCCTTCCACTGTTTCCAACAAATACCCTTTCTTTCATCCGATCCCTTCCACTAGAAAAATCAAACATGACCATTTAACTTATCACAGAAACTTTTAGGGAAAGCCACCGCAAACATGGCGTAGTTAGGAATAGCTTGGCTAACAGCTTTGAAAATATTTATATTGCATGATCGATGCTCAATGTTTTTTGAGTTACTTAGTGCCTTCAGACAAGAGTTATTACTAGTAAGTGATATAACTAATCAACTCATAGTAGTTACATATTAATCACACCTAGTTGTAACAATTTTGAACAAATAGGAGTGCAGACTCAAACTTATTATAATGTACATATTCTTTATAACTATTTTAAGTTAAAATAAAATTAAACTGACAGTTTGGTCACACTCCGAATCTACACCGCATGTGCAAATCTAAAAAGGAGTAAACAATGTAGGGTGAGTGACAACAACTTAGTAACAAATCTCAATTCCAAGTCACAATAGTTTGAAAATAAATAATTTGATATGATTGGGTAGACAAAATAGAACAATTGGTGCATAGATATTAAAGCAAAAGACAGTCATTGTAAATAGTTAATAAATACAGTAAAAACTGTAAAATAGCACCAATACCATTACCAATACAANGTAAAATTAGTAAACTAAAATTTAAGAGGTAAACATATTAAAAAAATAAAAAATGATTGGAACATAATAAAGACTATAATCAATACTTGAATAAAAATAAAAGACATTTTTTTATAGGAAAAACAAAGTCAAATAAAGATAAGTTGAAAGAACTTTTACTTGCAAAAATTCATAATAAAATGAAAGTCATCTAAAGAAAGCCTTATTATAATAAAAAAAGCTCAACAATTGAAATAAGAAAATTCTAAAGTGAGCAAAAGTAAAAAATATGTGAAGAATACAAAAATATAAATATACATATCATAATTTTTTTTTAAAATTTGAGGGTGGGCTCGTGCGCACTTTGCTCCTGTGTTACTCTGTCCATGTATGTCATCCTATATATATTTATCTATCTTTTTTTTTCTTTGATAAATCTATCTATATATATATCTATACAATTCTAATAGAATTTTTATTTCTTTTACATCTCTCTTACTCTCCTATATCTCACACATTTTAAACACACGCTTCGTCTCTTCCTTTATCCTAAATCCATATAATAATGANATCACACCTAGTTGTAACAATTTTGAACAAATAGGAGTGCAGACTCAAACTTATTATAATGTACATATTCTTTATAACTATTTTAAGTTAAAATAAAATTAAACTGACAGTTTGGTCACACTCCGAATCTACACCGCATGTGCAAATCTAAAAAGGAGTAAACAATGTAGGGTGAGTGACAACAACTTAGTAACAAATCTCAATTCCAAGTCACAATAGTTTGAAAATAAATAATTTGATATGATTGGGTAGACAAAATAGAACAATTGGTGCATAGATATTAAAGCAAAAGACAGTCATTGTAAATAGTTAATAAATACAGTAAAAACTGTAAAATAGCACCAATACCATTACCAATACAATGCCACACCTGATAACAATCATCCTAATAGATCACTCAGGGTCGATACAACCTATATGATCTAACTTTTTAGAGGACTTGCACTACAAAGAAGATACGTTATGAATCACAATTCGATACCCAAGTACGAAGACCAACCGGGTCATCCAGACATTTGCGAACTTAAAGAAACCTTTTATGGTCTCAACCTAGAACGTAAATCATGTCACTCAAACCTATTTGCACTTACATTTCATAGAAAAGATCCCGAATTCACATAATCAACAAACCATTCAAAAGATTGCGCATTTCAAAACAATAATATGGTCCGAAGTTACAAATTAGTGTGAATCACCCAATCATGAGTTTATAAACGTGTTAAACAACATTTATAACATAATGGATATATTTGAAAAGATTTCAAAAAATCCCACTTATTTAAAAATTCATAGTGCGTGTTGATTCGAAATTTGCCAAAATAGAAAAGGAAAATTTCTACGTGAAATTTCCACATAACTACATTTTGACCAGTTAAACAAAAATTAATTTGGTCAAACTACCCAAAATGGGGTCAAATTGGGACCCAAATGACAAAATGATCATTTTACGCACAGTTTTCATCAGAGCATTGAATCAACAATTGGAAGGTACTAGGACTTTCCGTGGGATGTGGGGAGTCCAACCCACAAACTAGAAATGTGACAGCCACCCCACACACCTTCATGCACTGTCAGGGTGGGTTGCCCTCCTCCGTCCCTCCTTTTGTTTTCTTCTTCTCGCCTAACCCTAATTCTTCTGATTTTTTTAGCTAACTCTCCATCTTCACAACTCTTGTTCTCCCTCCAAAGTACAACAAACTCCCTCGTTCAAACGCCTATCTCTTTTTTTTTTTCTCTTACCTCTTCCAAAACCCATAGGCATCTTGCTCCAAATCTTTGCACAACTACTCCATGAATTTAAGGTCAAAGTACACCCAAAACTCAGTTGGATATAATTGATCAGACCTATAACTCAACTTTTGATCCTCTAAATGACCTCTTTTTGCAATTATGAGGCTATGAACGGATTCCTTGACCCCTAGTACCCCTTTCGAATTAAAAACAAGTTTTACAAGATCTTGATTTTCAAGTTTCAAACCCAACTTAGGGTTTCACCTCCTTCCACCAACACACCACGACCATGGATATCAAGCCCCCAAACACACACTACTATAACCCAAGAACACAACTCAAGCCTCAATTAAAAGGAAAAACAACAATTCCATTAAACCGTTTTGAAAATTCGAAAAACTTCCACCTTTAAACTCAAATTTGATCATAACCACTCACATAAATGGAAAAATAAATGCACCAATGAACTTGTAACGAGGAAATGAATCTCACCTCATTCCCTTTTTCTCTTGAAACACTCTAGAAATAGAAAACCTAATTTTGTTCCTCACTTTCAAATTTCAAGTTTCTCTCTCTCTCGTTTTGGATCATATCTAATCTAGCACCTCCAAAAGCCTTTAACCAACTCAGAGGGACACCTAGGCTAGCAATCATGGGACTACATGACCAAATTCACCAAAAATTGCCACTTGCTAGTTCCTCCATGTGACGTGCTTAGAGGGGTAGTTTCGTGAATATCTTCAAACCTAAATTTTCATTTTTTTTAAATACACACTTTGATTTCTTGACTCGAAAATATAAATCTCCAAATTTGAACACTTTGGTGTGCATAATTAAATTTGTGCACTTTGAAAGCCTAAATCTCCTATTCAACTGATTTTAATTATTTTGACCTAATTTTGTCCAACTTTTCGATTGGCCAACCACGTGTCACTAACCCTTATTCCTTTTGACGTTACCAACTACTCCACACTTTTAGTTGGTTATAACTCATTCGAGGTCTTGCCTAGCTAACACGACCCTTAAAACCTCAATCTTCGTGATTATAGAACCTCGGTCGCTACAATCAATCTCTAAAAAATTGTCTTCAATCAACTCTCTATCTGGACTAGTTAGGATAGAGAGTCCAATTTGACTCTCAATGTTTAGAGAGTCAACTTCACTCTCTACTCTATAATTAATGAATGAAAAAATGATATATGTGCATTTTACATTAAATGCTATTTCTAATAAATTAGAGTTGTAAAAAAAATTATTTTCTATTTTAACTTTTCATCAAAAAAGCTCTTTATTTAATTTTTTTTTTTTGAAATAGAGAGAATACTCTAACCGGTCAAAACCTAATTGGATACCTATAAACACATTGGTTTATAGGCCATTAAAAAAAACATTAATCTCAAAGTAATTGCTCTATATATCAATAAATAATAAGAGATACTAATGCAATTTGCTTCTCTTTGAAAGATTTGATGCCATGGGTGTTCTTTAAAAAAGATAATGAAAAAAAAGAAAATTAAGCTTTGGCTTTTGTAATTATGGACTCGATTTTAATTTACTCCTAGAACTATTAAAATTTTTACATTGTCTCCTTAACTAGTTTAATTTTTTCACATTGTCCCTATTACAAGCGTCTGCTATTTTTTTGAACAAAAATTACAAATATATCTAGATAAAACAAAAAAAAAAGATGACATAGTTATAGAATCAAAATTAAATAATTTTTTTTTATCAAATTTGTAATATACATTAATAATTGGAGCACTGAGAAACTAATAATATAATTGAGAATACAATGTAAAAAATACGATAGTGGAGAGAGGCATTGTGAATAGAGGCTATCAAAGTGTAATTTATTCAAAAAAAAAAAAAGAAAAAAAGAAAAAGAAAAAGAAAAAGAAAAAGAAAAAAGATGGATTCGATTCGAAAATAGTGGCCCCCAATTGTCAAAAGAGCCCACGCCCATTTACGAACTCGCTGTACACTGCCAGCGTCAAGTCTATTATTCTTTGAAACTTTTCCTCTCTCACGGAGAACATTCTTCTGCCATGGCAAACCCAGAAGATGAATTAAAACCACTTCCAAAAATAGCCGATGCCTTCAAAGAGCTGGCCAACACTATTCATTCTCAAACCCCAGATCACGCCCAACTCGAACTCGGCCCATTCTCTAGCGCTTGTTCTCTCGTCTCCCCTCTCTTCCGCTGCCTCGGAATCGCCTTTAAGTTCGCCGAACTGGACTATGTTGCCAAAGTAAAATAGCTGAGCTTTCGTTTGGGTATTTGAGCTTTGACCGATTGATTGATTGAAATATTCTGGTTGTTGCAGGTTGATGATCTTATGGAAGCGTCGAAGTCGATTGGGACTTTGCGAGTGATGGTTGATAAGGATGTCGAAGCGAATTGTGTGAGGAAAGCGGGGAGTCATACGAGAAATTTGTTGAGAGTGAAGCGTGGGTTGGATATGGTTAGAGTCTTGTTTGAGCAGATTATAGCTTTAGAGTATGTTCTTTGACCTTTACATATGACTTTGGAAATGATAATTGTGTTGATATATGCTGTGTATTCGTTAACCCTTGCACTTGACACTAGACACACGCACTCTCTCTCTCTCTCTCTCTCTCACACACACACACACACAGAGGAATTGAAGAAGGCCTTAAATGATGAATATTGATCACATCCGACTTGGACAACTTAACTTCGCACTAGCAAAAGCATATGATTGAGTGTTGCGTATTTTGGTGGCTGGTGGGACAAAACTAAGGATAGTTCAATCCTTCTGTTTCTGGGCTAGTGGTGAAGGAGGGGATGGGCTGGAAAGGTCTGCAGCCAATCATAGGTGGGGCAGGATAAGGTGTTTTCTCCTCATAGCAATCAAAAATAAATAAATATCTTTAATGGGGAGTGGAAAGATCTATATTGAACACAACAACAAAAGGGATAATAGGACACAATATTGGCTTCAAGACTCTAATGACCACCACAAGTTAGAAGAAGCTTGAAAATTTTCCAATGCAATTTTCGCATTTTGAGTACAGAAGCCTATGAGATTACAGGAAGACCAGATTTTTTTTTAATTGGTCAGACTTTAGAGGCCATGAATAAGGGTGGCAGATACTTCTTGCATGTTGGAGTTGCTTTAAGTTCTAAGGAGCAACTAAGAATGGACTACGAGGTGGGGAGAAAAATCTTGTGCGGAGAGGTTGAAACAGGAGATTGGAATTTTGAGTTGCTTCATAGTGGCAGTAGAAGGCTTTGAACGAATTTTGTCAAATCTCTGAATCTGTTTCTGGAAGAGTTTGAGGACATTGAGGTAAACTTTTCTAGGTGATTCTGTGTGTCTTTTAGCAGTAGCATGAGAAGATGATATTTTGTTATGTTCACATTTTTAATATACTTTTATATAGTATCAGAGATAGTTATTAGGGAGTTATTTTAGTAAGTGGATTAGTGATAGAGACTCATTTGTGGGTAGTTTTCTAGGTGATTCATCGAATAATAGAGTAATGTGTTAGGTTAGTTATTAAGGTAGTTTTTATCATCTTGTATTTAAAGGCCTTTCTACGGATAAAAATGATGTTGAATATGTAGAATGTTTGCATTATTTTAATTAGGGGTATTATTGTAATCTACAACTCTTTTATGAGTTAATATAAATATGGATGATGAAAATAGGGATTGATTTACTCTTATTCTCTTAAACCCTTGTTTCTTATAATCTCATCTACCCTCTTGTCACTTCTCCACTCTAAACCATAAAATTTAAGATCTTTAAATTTCAACTTGGTATCAGATCAGTCTAACGGAAGTTTGAAGTCACTGAAACATTTAGGAAGGCGTTTGGAGTCTGCCGGTGTCGCTAACGTCATCGTCGGAATGATGACGTCATCGTTGGAACCATTAAACTCGACATAGTTCGACTTGTTTTTTCTCTTAAGTATTGTGGTGGTTTTTTTTGTAAGTCATTTGATGGGTTTTTTTTTTTTTTTTTGAATTTTTTTGAAATTTTCGAGTTGGATTTTACTATCTACTCTTTGGTGAAGTTTGCGGCCATTCCAATTGTCCTACTGCTACCCGTTGGCGCTGACTAAGTCTTCTAGGAGCCCTGGTTGAGTTCCGTGCACATCCCACTGAGTTTTGGGCAGTTTTTGACGTCGGCAGTGGTAGATCTACACTCCGGCAGCACTGTTCTGTTCCGGCGTTGAGGTATTTTTGCTCCAGCAGTGAGTTTTTTGGTCTCAGCAGTGTTGGGTTGGCCTCAACAATGATTTTCCTGTCTTGGATGATATTATCCAGCCTTGACAGTGATTGTTTTGGTCCAGCGGGGGATTTTTTTTTCTAGCCTCGCCACTGAGTGTTCTTCACTCTACAGGTGTGGGTTTTGTGTTTTTTTTTACTGTTGGGTTATTTGTGAAGGTCTTTTGGTTTTCCTTGTGTTTTTCAGTTGCTAACTTGATTCCTTTTTTGTTGGGTTAGTCCTAAAATTGCTTTTCAAGAGTCGGTCTGTGTTGGAAAGTTCCCATTTACTAAGTAGACATGTCTGGAGTTAATGCAGAATCCACTAGCACTGAGAAAAGTGGGTTGAGTTGTGTAGGGACTCTTGGATGTAAACCTTCTCTCTAAACCAGTCCAACAAAATTAGATGGGAGCAACTATTTGGCTTGGTCCTAATAATGCATGTTATCAGTATGGACAAGTGGGCTAAATGGATATATGATAGGAGCAAGTAAGAAACCCAAATTTGAATTTGACCTGAGTTAGTGGATCTTTGAAAACTCATTGGTGATGATATAGTTATCCAAACATGATGCAACCTCACATAAGTCGTAGTTTTCTGTTTCTTGAAGCAACCTATGACATTTGGTCAACGTTGGCTCAAATATATTCATAGCTTGGGAAAGATGCCCAGATTTATGAGCTCCGGAGGAAGATTTATGAAACTAAACAGAGGAATATGACTATTGCATAGAATTACGCAAGACATGGTTACCCAACTTGATGCAGTCTCACATAAGTCGTGGTTTTCTGTTTCTTGAAGCAACTTGTGAGATTTAGTCAGCGTTGGCTCATACATATTCATAGATTGGGAATGATGCCCAGATTTATGAGCTCCAGAAGAAGATTTATGAAACTAAATAGAGGACTATGACTATTGCATAAAAAAATACGTTGGATTGAGTAGTTTGTGACAAAAGCTGGATTATTATCAAGATTTTCAAGCAGATTATGTTAGAGATAGTATTAAGTTTCAGATGTTGATAGAAAAAGAACTAGTATATGATTTTCTTACAGGTCTCAATATAGAGTATGATCAAATTTGTACACAGATCTTGGGTAGAGATCTTTTTTCCTTCTTTAAGGCAAACATATGCTTATGTGTAATAAAAGGAGAGTAGGAGGAGTGTCGTGCTTCATAGTCGTACTCATGATCGATCTACTCTAGCAACTTAGTCAATAGATCCTTCCAGCCTTGGGGTGATGGTAAAAATGGGAGCATTGAAAAGGATCTGTTAAAATGTGACTACTGTGGAAAGATGAGGCACACTAAGGACCATTGTTGGAAGCTACATGGTCGTCCTTCTAAGGGGCAGGGTGGTAATAGGGTTGATCCTATGTGCTCACATGCTCATAAGATTGAGATTGCTAATCCTACCTAGCAGTTCATCTCCATCCACTGGTATTGATAGTGCAAGTTTCACTATAAATGAGATGTAGGCTCTTAGGTGTCTGATGGCCCAGCTTGATAATTCTTTTGCACCTATTTTCACTTCTGCTATTTTCAATTTTGCTCACACTGGTATACATGTTAGGGCTCTTATTGCATCTTGTTTTCCTAACTTTTTGATTATTGATTTCGTAGCCACTGACCATATAATAGGTTTCTAGAGTCTTTTCTCCTCTTATTCCACATGTTGCGGTAGAGATAAGGTTAGGGTATTATTGTCATCTGTATTTGGGAAAGGTTCCATCTATTGTTCTCCTTCTATGTCTTTGTCTTCAGTCCTTCATGTTCCTACTTTTTCTACTAACTTACTCTCAGTAAGTAGTATTACACTTGAGATAAATGTGAGTAAAAGGGATATAAACTAAGCGTAGAGCCCTGTATATATAACCAATGAAAGTTACAATAAGGATAAAAAGGTAAAAATAAAAAACTTAATAAGCCCTAATAAACTAGACTGCTGTTATATCTCCAACACTCTCCCTCAAGCTAGGCGCAAAAATGTCAACTAAGTCAAATTTGACAACAGAGTCCCGAAGAATGGATAGAGTGACAGGTTTGGTAAAAATATCTACAACTTGATCACTGGTCCTCACAAACGATGGAGTGACAATACCACTGCTAACCTTCTCCCGAAGAAAGTGAACATCGATCTCTATATGCTTCGTCGTCTCGTGTAATACAGAGTCAGAAGCAAGCTGAATAGCAAATCGATTATCACAATATAATGTAGATGAAGTAGTCACTGAAAATCCCAACTCGCCAAGAATCGATCGGAGCCAGATAATCTCACATGTGCCAAGTGCCAGTGCCGGTGCCCGTGCCCGATACTCTGTCTCTGTTGACGAGCGAGAGACAACTAACTGCTTCTTGCTCTTCCAAGAGATAAGATGAGTCCCTCCAAAAGCACATAAACCTGTAGTATATCAACCGTCACATGCTCTCCCATAATCTGAATCTTAATAATAGGCTAGAGAACCAGTCTGAGATCCTGATGCATAGAATAACCCAAGTTCAGGACAAGACTTGAGGTATCGAAGAATATGATAAATTGCATCAAGATGAGGCTGACATGGTCTGTGCATGAACTGACTAACTCGGCTGACAGCGAATGAAATGTCTGGCCTAGTGTTGGCTAGGTAGATAAGTCTACCTACCAACCTCTGATAGACAGACGGATCTTTCAACTCCTCACCTTCAGCAGTAAGCTTTAGGTTTGGAATCATAGGTGATGATGCCGGTTTGCATCCCAGCATCCCAATGTTTGAGAAAAGATCCAAAACATACTTTCTCTGAGAAAGAATAATACCTCTGCTGTTACGAGTAACCTCAATCCCAAGAAAGTATCGCAAAAATTCAAGGTCCTTCACATCGAAGGCCTTCCTAAGGTCTACCTTGACCTGTGCAGTCCCAGAAACATCATCTCCATTAATAATAATATCATCAACATATACCAAAAGGATGACACACTGTCCAGAAATATTCCGTCGAATGAAATAGGTATGATCAGAATGACATCTGGTGAATCCTAAACGTACAACTACATCACTAAAGCGAGAGAACCAGACTCGTGGTGACTGCTTCAGTCCATAAAGAGACTTACGCAGTCGACATACCTTTCCAGCATACTCTCTCTCACCACGAAAGTCCAGTGGTGCATCCATATAAATAATCTCGTCCAGATCACCGCGAAGAAATACATTCTTCACATCTAACTGATGAAGATGCTAAGAGTACTTCGTAGCAAGAGAAATAATCAGTCGAACAGTAGTCAATTTTGCCACGAGGGC